GAAATATTATTAATTGATCTTAGAAAACAAGAAAAAAATTTTATAGAAAAAGAAGGAATATTAGTCACAGAAGAATAATGAACGAAGATGTGAAAAACTTAATATTTGATTTAGAAGATTTAAAAATTTGTAAAGAAATAACTAAAAATCACATAATTGGAAAAACAAGAGAACCATGAGCAGTTAAACAAGAAGAATATGAAGAAACTAGCACAGCTATAGACCCTGGAAGTTATATTAATACAAAAGTTGATTTTAAAACTAGTAATGAAAAAAATGTACATAGAGCAATTCAAACAAATATTAAGAGAATCAAATTCAATGAAAATTGCAAGATCATATTTAAATCTAGATTGTGAATTAGATGTTAAAAAAACTATAAATGAATAGAGTACGAATATGATAATACATTTCAATTATAATAGTAGTAATATCGATAATAAAAATAGGACTGAATATTTATTAGCAACTTTTAAAGGAAATGTAGCTAATTGGTATCGAGAATTAGAAGAAACAATAATATGTGTTTGGAAATATATTATTGAAGCATGATTTGGAATTAGCATAATAGAATGTATAAATAGAGACACTACAAGAATTTATAGAGAATTCGCAAGAGAAGATTGGGTAAACGAAAATACTAAAGCTAGAATAGAAGAAATAGAAGATGCTAAAAATAGGATCGAATATTTACAAATTTGTAATATATATTACCTTAATGAATATTGCTGTGAATATAGTAAATATTTTTATATGATGTTTGGTAGTGTAATAGATAATAATTATTATAAGTAAGTTTTTATTAGAAAATTATCCCCCGCCATGAAATAATTATTTTCAAAGTAAGATTAAATAAAAACAACTTAAAAGAAATGAAGACGGCTATACATTAGGATTTATAATAAGAACTATAAAAGATGAAATAAGCATTATGTGTAGTAATCAAATGATTTATAAACAATCAGGATTTATACAAGATATAATTTCTCGTAGAGATACTGAAGTACCAGAAAATTGGGGATAATATGATTATAAACGAAAAAGAAAAATAAAACCTAAAAATATAATAAGTTTTTTAAAAAAATATTTTAAACCAAAAACGAAATATTTTTAAAGAAAATATAAATTTTATAATAAAAAATCATTAGATAAAAAACGATGTAAATATTGAAATTGTAATGAAGAATGACATATAAGTACCGAATGTCCAAAAAAGAAAGTTAGGATATTAATTACATATTTTGATCAAATTAGATATGAATGTGAAGAAGTTAACTTTGAAGAAATAGAAATTGATGAAGAAATTTTTTAAGAAGAAATATTTAGTGAAAACGAATAAAAATAGTTAAACTAGTTTTTAAAACTATTTTAAAACTTAAGGATATGTTTTGCAATAAAAACCAATTTCATTAACGGTAAAATTGACTTTTCAATAAAAAAACCTAAAACCTCAAAGTTGACCGGTCATTTATGAAAATCTCCATAGTTCAAAGGGGGGACCGTTACAATTTTTTTAGAATAAAAATGGGTGTTCAAAGGAATACTTAATGACTAGCGGGCCAATTAAATTGAACGCATGAAAACTACTATCATTTCAAATATTCTACTGCACCGCAGACAGAGTCTAACAAGAAAATCCATAAAAGGCCTTGTGGAAATTTGAAAATCTGTGTTTTTCTCCGTGGAAAGGAGATCATTAATGTTCATTTAGCAAAAAAAAGTTTTGAGCAATGAATGTTTTTAGAAAATGTGTGGTTAAAAAGTATGAAAAAGTTTTGAGTTACGAAAGTTATAAAAGTAAAGTTAAACATAGTTAAAAGAGAAACTCTAAAAACCTTCAAAATTTTAACTTATAAATGGATGCTTATTAACAGATTTATGGCATAAGCAGACATGTAATTGACAAGATTTTAATTTATTTTATTTGCTAACCAAATATGCTGTAAATTCATTGGAATTGAATTGAGGCAAAAAAACTGCTGGAGTGACTATTAAGTTTCTCGGATCTCAAATACAGTGAAGAATAAGTAATAATTACTCTCAAAATTAGGAGCAGAACTGCTGCAGAAGTGTGATAAAAGCTGTGTGAGCTTAATTAAAGTTAAAATGGAAAATAAGTAGAGAGAGAGAACATACCGTCTTCAACCAGTGCAGTAGCCGAATAAGTCAGTAGAAGCAGAACATTTACAGGGAACCATTTGCATCTTGTTGAGCTCAATACCATCTCCAATGCCGAAACCTCTCTCTTTCTCTCTAGCTGCGGGTGAGTGTGTGTGTGTGAAAGCAGTGAAAACAGAAGATCAGACTCTGAGATTAGTGAGAGAGAGAGAGGGGGGGAGGAAAAGACACTGCAAGCGTCCTTATATCCAAGATTCGTGCTACTAGTTGTCATTTCAATCTTGATACACAAACATGGTGAGAGATTAAAATTGTTCATTGAATTTGACAATAAATTTGATAATGTGTGAGTTGTCAGACAATAAGTCCATTGATTTGAAAGATTGTTTTTGAATTCAATGGCAATGTTCTATACACCTCACACATTGTCAAAATCATTGTGAAAATTCATTGTACAAGTAGTTTAATTCTTCTTGTTATTTCAATTCTCATTTGCTCATTTGCTTTAATCATTTATGATAAATTTAGTCCATGTTTGGCCTTCATTTTGGGATGTTGAAATTTTTTGAAATAGTGATTGATAAGAGAATGTGTGATAGAAAAGTAATGAAAAATTTTAGATTTATGTGTATTATTATTTTATTTGATGAATGTGTGGCTGAAACGAAAAGAGAAAAAAAATTAATGTAATGTAATGAAAAAAATAGGGGTCAAACGGGGGTTATTTGTACATGTAGCATGACCATTTCTTTTATGGACCCTTATGTACACTTTTTTATGTGCATAATTCTTCTTTTATTATTACACGGGTGTCCTCATTTATGATTGAGCAAATATTTAAGAGCTTTGGCAGGTGAGCCCGGCTATTTTCCTTTTGACAGTGAAGCTTATTTCGAGGGTGTTACATTCCAAAATTTGACCCTTCGGTATATAGTTTGATAAAATTTTATCGACTTCTCAACTCGCATTTCATTCCTAGGGAACATTGTTGGTCCACCGCCGCATTCGTATCATGTGGCAAAGAAATTTTGATTGAATATTGCTTTTTGGACTTTGATCGTTGGATAGGTATTTCACTGTCTACGAGGTCGTAGCAAAGGTCTGTCAATCGAAGTCAAAAGTTTCAACGTTGTTAAAGTAATGTATTTTTAACCTGAAATAGTTGTTCATCTTTTTCAAGTTACTTATTTTGTTAATTGTAATCTTTAAGAAGACTTTTGGTCCTAATAAAATTTACTTCCATTACACTTTTATTGAACGAGACATTCATGTGACAAGATGAGTCATAAGCTAGTTGGTCTTGAGTATTCATTTTTGGATAATTAGCACATAGCATCCTCATCTTTCTCTGTTATAATAAAAAATGTCATTATATTTCATTTTTTGGCATTTTCATCGTTATTTCCACATTTCATTGCGCAAAAAGTCATTTTCATTCATTTTCTCAATTAAAAATCATGGAATGACGAATGTACCCTATCTTTAAATAAAACATAAAAGAAAAAGAAAAATCTAATTGCAATCATAGTCTCAAAATTTTTTAAAAAAAGCGCAAATGAGTCCCCAAATAAATTACTAAAAGAGTAATTAGCGCAAAATATCCATACCTTTCACCATTATAGCGGAAAATGTTTCTACCTTCTTTTTTTGGCATTTTCACCCATAATTATACATTTGATTGCGTAAATCATATTTTTCTATTCATGTTCATCCAATTTCTCAATAAAAAGATGTAAATTGATGAATATGCCCTCATATTAAAAAAAGGAAATTAAATAAAAATATTTTTTAAAAATTCTAATTTTTTAATAATTTATTTGAGATTCTTTTGCACTTTTAGTTTTTTGGGACTCGTTTTCACTTTTTTTTCTTTTTAATTTTTTAAATAATTTATTTGGGTTTCGTTTGGACATTTAAAAAAATAATTTAATTTATCATTTTTTAATAATTTATTTGTGACTCGTTTACACTTTAAAAAAAAAAAAGTAACTATGGTTGAAATCAATTCTTTAGCCTTTTTATTTAAATAGGAGGATATATTCATCATTTCACGACTCTTTTTTGAGAAATTGAATAAAAATGGATAGAAATGATGGTTTGCGCAATCAAATGTGTAATTAAATGTGAAAATGTCAAAAAAGAAAGAAAGATATGGACGTTTTTCGCAATAATAATGAAATGTATGGACATTATGTGCTAATTATTATTTTAATAATTTATTTGAGACTTGTTTGTATTTTTTTTTTTTAAATAGAATTATGGTTGCAATTAATTTTTTTTGTTTTATTTGAAGATAAGGATATATTCGCCATTTCACAATTTTTAATTAAGAAAATAGATGAAAATGACATTTTGCGCAATGAAATGTGAAAATAAGAGTGGAAATGGCAAAAGAGAAATATAAGAACATTTTTCACAATAGTAATAAAATGTAGAAACGTTATGTGTTAATTACCCATTCATTTTTTATTAGATAGTAGAGGTATCCTAATCGGATCATGTCCATTAAAAGCTTGACATACTCTTGGTAGGCTTGTGCTTGGTTTAATGGTTCATCTTGACCAACATGTATATTTCACTATATACTTACAATTCTCCAAGTAATATAAGCCCTAAACACAACCCAATTAATCTATTTCATTTTCTGCCCCACTTAATCATATTACATCGTCGGAGTCCAAACGATTATCGAACCTTAACTCTATTGATTGACTTCTCTCGCACTTAATTATATTCCTATTTTTAGCATTTGACTAAACTGTTACGATGCAAATAGACGTCGGATTTTTTTTTTACAGACAACTTTTGTGTCTTAGCAATGTCCTAGCGTGCGGGTATGTATGCATGGACTTTGGAGGTGAGAGATATATTGACAATTGGATCATTCAGATTTTGAAGTCAATGATTTTAGAAAAGAGCAACTTAAGCCCCAGTTTTATCTACATTATTATCTCATTAAAATGAAACCGTTATCCATCATATCAACTAGGGCTGCACAAAAAATCGCGAAATCGCAAACCGAACCGAAACCGTTGGTTTGGGTCCACGTGGACCCACGGTTTTTTTTCTTCAAACCGAACCAAACCGTTTCAAAATGGTTTGATTTAGGTTTTGATTTTCAAAAACCGCACAAAACCGAACCGAACCCCACGTTTTTTAATTAAAAAATATTTTATTAAATTATAAATTCTCATATATATATTTTGTCAAAATTTTGGATTTATTTTTTATCTAATAGTTTACACTTTAGTAACCTAAGAGCAGCCCAAGGCTTAAAGCCCAAATCCAATTGAAATATATCCATACCATATTCCATATATCCATATTCCATTAACCCAACCCAACTTTGAAACGTGTGACCTAATAATATTCCCAGATCCCAACTTTCCAAACGGTGCGTGTCGTCTCTCTCTCCTCCTTCAATCTCCTTTGTTTCCAGTTTTCCTCTACCTCAGTCACGAATTCTCAAACGCCTATGCTAATTTATTGAACGAGTTAATATGTTTTTTTTTGCTTTATTTGCAACTATTATTAAATGATTCCAATAGCTTATTGATTTTTGTCCAAGACAGATAGATATCCTCGTGTTTCTTTATGTTTTCATGGTGTAAAATTTTATTATTCCGTTTTGATGTTTATATACTGTTATATGTGCATAGAATATCATTCTTCTTGAGACATATTCCAGCTTGTTTATTGGGTATAGCAGCTAACTTTTCTTTCCCTTTTTGATGCATAATAGAATTTTGTTACTCATGATATGTAATTGTAA